GAATTATTATTATTTATCTAATATACCTTCTTAATGGCTTTATTCATTTAATCATAGAATAAATGTTCCACGATTTAAATTTTGATTTGATAGTGGACCTAGTAAATGCTTTGAATTGGATATTTTTTTCCTTTCATAACCTAAATATAGGAGCAGAACTGTGAGACCGTTTTATTTCTATTAACAAATAGCTTAGGATTAAATTTTAATTCAATAAGATATTAGGGATTCATTTAATATTAAATACTTAATCACTAAGATAATAGGTTTAAGAGTGGATAACGAGCGGGTTTGGATCCAAAACATCGAACTGTCAGTCGCGCGTGATATATAGAGACTCATTTTTTCAACGAATTAGATGTGTTACATGTAAAATGGGTCACGTGTGATGCGGATTGGTTTATACAGTTAAGATCTTTAATAGTAAAAAAATCAACAAAAAAATTTAGAAATAATTCAAAATACAAAAATAGAGAAAAACTAGAAACAACAATTTTGTAACCAATAACTTTAATCAAACAAACTCAAAATAAATGAGATATGAAAAAAGAAAAAGAGATGAAGAGGAGCAATACACAAATATAGTTTTGCATGTTTGTCATCTAGTTTCCATTATTGAAAAACAGGATAAGAGAAATGCATGAGTTGCTTGTACTGACTTGAAAAAAGAATGAGATAATATCATTATATTCTAGAAATGTCAAAGTGAACAAGTGGTTTAAAAATAAATAAATACCCTTTAAAATAAGTGAGGTGAGAATTTTATTAAAGAAGCATGTCATACCCCAATTTTGATCCTGAATTTGTGAATCCATACATGCATCATGACATTTGCATCACCTGCATAGATACACGCATCTCATTTCGCATAATGGCTAAAATGCCGACCAAAATAATTTTTTGGATCTACAAATAGACCGGTTGAACTGATTCTCAAATGTAAGTAAAATTAGCGGGCGAAAAATCTCAAAATCGATCTTGCAAACGTCAATTTTATTAATCTACGGTTCACGTAGTTTAACCTAGCATGCTCATTTTATTTTTTTGACACCTTTTCCGGTAGCATTTTGATCAGCATGAGCCTTTTAAACCGGTCAATTTTTATTTCAAAATTTGATCAAAATCTATATGTTTCCGAGAAGTTTATTTTGCACTCATCATTTTAGAGCATTTATTTTAATTTTTCGAGCATTTTCACGCCCAAATTTTATTCATTTTGAGTCCTTTTATTTTTAGTTAATGATGTACCCCAATCATGCATGCAGACTCCTTGTTTTTAGTTTTTCTAGTTTTATATTTTTAATTAGTAATTTAATTGATCAACTTTCTTATTTGTTTAATTGATTATATTTTATTTATTTGCTTTTACCGCTAAGCAGATTATTTGATTAATTGTTGCCTCGATTTCATTGTGTGGCGATTTCAGAAGTTTTAATCAAATTCGACTTTCAAAAATTGCTTGGACGCATATATTTTTTATCCGACTTCTTATAGAGTGATTCCTATATAAATCCACTTTAAGTTAGCTTAGAGTTAAATTTAGTTACTTTTGATTTCAGTTTGTTTTCGGTCCCCGTGACTTACCCTTGGGCCTTCGTATAATGAAACTTTTTGTTTACATTTACTTGTTTGATGGGTTTGTATTTTACTTGCTTTCTTACTCCCCATTAACAAAATGCACCCTCATCCCTTGTTTGTATTAACAATTTTGACTTTTTTATAACAAAATGGAAGGAAAGAACCACTTGGGTGTAAAATCCAATCATAGTCCCAAGTATTAGACCCAAGTTGTAAAAGTTTTCAAGTTATAAATACTATACTTCCAGCCCAAAAATACATCAAACATATTCAAACCATTTTTCCTTTTGGCATTCATTCAAAACCTTTTTCATAAACGAAATATATTTCGTCTCAAGACGATGCAAAACAATATTTCGTCCACAATCGTGTGAGTTGAGATAAGTGACGTTTTCCTGTGTGTTTATATCTAGAAATCCATTCAATGTGATGTAAACGCCCACTCATCACCTACTTTGTGTAGCAAGCAATTATTTTTTGTCGATTGTGCCAAAATAGATTTTTCTTAAATCGACCAACAAACAAACATTTTCTACCCAGAACTACGTAGCCTTGAGTTATCCATTACATCCGGAGATACGTAGGAGCGAGATTCAAAGTTTCATCTGACACCCTAAAAAAATATAAATCTTTTTGTCCCTTTCTTTTCCTTTTTAATAACTCGAGAGGCTTAACATTTCTAAGCTAATACTAACGCACACAACTAATCAAGCGGTTCACGTTGAGTATAACGAGTGTTAGGGGTGCTAATATCATCCCCTTACAAAATTGACTTCTAAACCCCGATTTGATTGCGATGACAATATCATTGTCGTTCTTTTAGGGGATCTATTGATATTTTCCCTTTCCCTCTTTGGGAATAAATAAAGTTTGGTGGCGACTCTATTCATTATATCCTGCGAGCATGCAATTGCGCTTCGCGAGTGCCGTGTTCTATTTTTTTGAGGTACGACAAAGCAAAATTGAAAGTCGTTTCAATGCAATTATTTTATATTTATTAGCACTGTACTAGTAACTGAATGTTTTAATAAACGTTCCTTAGAAATCCTCATGTGAAAGTACTAATATTAGTTAATCTATCAATTTTCTTAGTCCTAGACCCTTAGTAAAATAAATGGATCTATCAGATAAAATCAATGTCTTATCATATTGTCAGTGAAACACTACTATTATTGAAGAAAGTCTTACGCTGTCACGTTTTCAAATTTCACTATCACATAATATCAGTATTAGTTACATTTAAATTTCACTAAATTATCTATTTTGGAAGGGTTCTGGTACAACTGGGTTCCGAATCCAAATATGCACCCGCCGGTTTGAATCTATGTGAAATTGGCTTTGACCACCCACAAACCTGTAGGTCGATCCGACCCGTCCATTTAAGCTCAATTTTGAATGGTTTGCTCGGTTTTCAGGCGTGCCAATATATTTATCCACTTCTAATTAGGAATAAGTATTCTTGGAAAAAGGATACAAAGTGAATAATTAAGTCTGACTCATGTGTGACATAAATGGTAGTGAAAGGGCGTGGGTTCAACAATTTAATTTTTTTAAAATAAAAAACATTAATATTTAGTTTTATGTATTTAAAATAAAATATCACATTCTTATTTTAATGTTAGTAATTTTAATAAAATGCCAATTCACATAAGTTGAGATGGCCGAGTTGGTCTAAGGCGCCAGATTAAGGTTCTGGTCCGAAAGGGCGTGGGTTTAAATTCCACTCTCAACAATTTGATTTTTTTAAATAAAAACATTAATATTTAATGTATTTTACTCATGCTAGAATTATCTTTTTTTTATTAAATATCCTAAAAGAACTATATTTATTTACAATTACCCAAGTACAAACATTTTTTTAAAGAAGGCAAAATAATATAATTCAATAAAATGTTTGTCGACATATTAGAGTTCTTAGTTTTAACTACTACCAAACAATGGCTTTTTTTTGTCAAACATTTGCATTTCCGCCAATTCTATGTGACAAAAATTATGAGAACTTCTCTCTTTCCAAATTATCCATATGCAAGCCAACCAAATCAACTAAATATTGGAATAGATCTTTTTAGAAACAAGTAAGAACCTTCCAAATTAAAAATCATAGTCAAAAGATGATATAGAAAGAACCCAAGAGACACCCAACTACTAAAAAACATTATATCAGATATCCCTAAAATATTCACACTAAAAAACAAATGATTAATTATCTCATTTTTTCCACATTCCCATGTACATAAGAAATAGTCAGAATCTAAAAACCTCCAGCAATCAAGCTAATTCTATTGATGGTGATGTTGTTTTATAAACTTTAATACGACGATCCTTCATGAATATGATCTCAAAATATCTTTCTTTCAAAGGACGTGTCACTAATTTTTTGTAACCTGACAGACTATAAGGATCAGTAAACTTTGATCTAGTGCTTCTTTATGGTGTGCCTGTCTTTTAGTCTGCCTTGCTTTTTGATACATGGTTTATGTGATTTTAGATAGATTGGGATTAGACCCATATCGAACACACGCACCAAGTTATCCTTCATTGGAATCCTATTGTTCACAAGCACCATATTTCGGAACATGCAGACGATTTTCTAGCAGAAATAGACAAAGACCTTAAGTATGAGGGCTTATTTATAAAGGTGAGCTCAGCAACCACCTCAGATTCATATTTTGTTATAGGATATATGCAATATGATCGAGAATTTGTACACAGTTTATTGTATCAACATTATTCTCGAAATGCCGGTCGGCAGATTTTGATTTTGGAAGAGATTGATGAAGATTTTGGCCCTATTGATTGATAGGGTTTCTATTCTTGGGGACGTCGATGACGACGACCACCCGACTCTTTTATAACTTGAAAATATTTTTTAGGAGGAACAATTTTAAGTTCAAAATGTAAGGAAACCCCATTTTCTTACAATATATAAATTTGGTATTCAATTGAATTTCTAAGGAGTTAAAAATATGAAAGTAGCGGCCTCTGTTCGTAAAATTTGTGCAAAATGTCGATTGATCCGTAGGCGAGGTCGACTTATAGTAATTTGTTCGAATCCAAAACATAAACAACGACAAGGATAATATTAAATTAATATTAAATATTAAATTAATATAAATAAGGGCTTTCCATTAATAAGATTTTGAATTCTATTCAAAATATTATTAATGGAAAGCCCTTTTCTTAAATACTAAATCATACAAATCGAAAAATTTAGATTCTATATTCGAATCTAGTCTATAGTTATAAGTATTCGAATAAATAGAATTGCTTATTGCTTAATATTTGAAAAAAGGGTATTCTATATTAATCGAATTATAGAATACAATAGAATAACTAGTTAGAAAATAGTAAAGAATCCTTTTTGACAGGAAATGGATATATCCATATATTTCTGACTTATCTTTTTTTTTAAAATAAAAATAATGGCAAAATCTATACCAAAACTTGGTTCACTGAAAACTGGACGTATTGGTTCGCGTAAGCATCCGCGTAAAATACCAAAGGGGGTTATTTATATTCAAGCTAGTTTCAATAATACCATTGTGACTGTTACAGATGTAGGAGGTCGGGTGATTTCTTGGTCCTCCGCCGGTTCATATGGATTCAAGGGTACACGAAGGGGGACACCATTTGCCGCTACAACCGCAACGGGAAATGCTCTTCGAACAGTAGTCGATCAAGGCATGCAACGAGCAGACGTCAGCATAAAGGGTCCTGGTCGAGGAAGAGATGCGGCATTAAGAGTTATTGTTCGAAGTGGGATACTATTAAACGTTATACGGGATGTAACCCCTATACCATATAATGGATGTAGGGCTCCTAAAAAGAGACGTGTGTAAAACTAACAATAAATATGAAAGAAAAAGATTTCAAGAGAAATAAACAATTAAATCAAGAGTTTCATAAAAATAGATTACTATGATTCGAGAAAAACTAAAAGTATCTACTAAGACACTACAGTGGAAGTGTGTTGAATCAAGGGTAGACAGTAAGCGTCTTTATTATGGACGCTTTATTCTGTCTCCACTTCTGAAAGGTCAAGCAGATACAATAGGCATTGCAATGCGAAGAATTTTGCTCGGAGAAATAGACGGAACATGTATCACACGTGCAAAATCTGAGAAAATACCACATGAATATTCTACCGTAGTAGGTATTCAAGAATCAATACATGAAATTTTAATGAATTTGAAAGAAATTGTATTGAGAAGTAATCTGTATGGAACTCGAGAGGCGTTTATTTCTTTCAAAGGTCCTGGATATGTAACTGCTCAAGACATCATTTTACCACCTTCGGTGGAAGTCATTGATAAGACACAACATATAGCTAACCTAACGGAACCTATTAATTTGTGTATTGAATTACAAATTGAGAGAAAGCGGGGATATCGTATAAAAACACTAAACAACATTCAAGATGGAAGTTATACTATAGATGCTGTATTCATGCCTGTTAGAAATGCAAATTATAGTATTCATTCTTATGTGAATGGAAATGAAAAACAAGACATACTATTTCTCGAAATATGGACAAATGGAAGTTTCACTCCTAAGGAAGCACTTTATGAAGCCTCCCGGAATTTGATTGATTTATTTATTCATTTTTTACATGTAGAAGAAGAAAACTTCAATTTGGAAAACAATCAACACAAAATGACTTGGCCCCTTTTTACTTTTCATGATCATGATAGATTCGTTAAGGATAAACTAACGAACACTCAAAAAGAAATTACATTGAAATCCATTTTTATTGACCAATTAGAATTGCCTCCCCGGATCTATAATTGTCTTAAAAAGTCCAATATACATACAGTATTTGAATTTTTGAATAAGAGTCAAGAAGACCTTATGAAAATTGAACATTTTCGCATAGAAGATTTAAAAAATATATTAAACATTTTACAAATCGAAAATCATTTTGTATAAATTGAAAATCCATTGGATTTTTTTGAATCTTTCATTTTTTTTTATTTATAAAAAGAAAGCTTCAAATATTAAATTTGAATCTTTAGCACAAATCAATATATTCATAATAGGTATAAAATGAAATAGATGGATCTAGGGATTAGTCATTTCAAAGTGAATTTTCCCTAGATACACAATACACCTGTCATGATATTTTATTTGACAATAGAATCAATTTAAAAAATCCCTAACGTTAGGGATTTTTCAATAGGTAATGTTGCTCCAATATCCAACCAAAGAGCCACGACGGTACCAATCAAAAAGACGGTTGTTGCTACTGGACGCCGAAATGGGTTTTGGAACTTATTAACATTTTCTAAAAAAGGTAATGTTAATAATCCCGCGGGTACTGAAACCATTAAAAGAACGCCCAATAATTTATTGGGTACGGTACGAAGTATTTGAAATACGGGAAAAAATACCATTCGAGCAATATTTCCAAAGGAGTTGCAAACGGATCTGCGGGCTCCCCAATCATTGATGGTTCGAGAACCGCTAAGCCTACGTTACAGGCAATAGTACCCAAAATAACTACTAGAAAAATATATAAAAGATCGTTAGGCCATGCGGGTTCGCCATAATAATTATGACCCATCCCTTTGGCCAATTTCGCTCTTAATACAGGATCCGTCAAATCAGGTTTTTTTATTGGGATAGGTGAATTCTTATAGATCCATCCTCTGAAAGAACCGGACATGATAATTTTGCATCATCCGGCTCGAGCACGAATCAGACAAACTGAATGCAGACATAGAAATTCTTTATATGTTAGTCACTCATATATCATGATTCTATGTAATAATATGTAATAAAATGGATTTAATTGTTTTTTTTTTCGAAATTACAACTATCCATTGTAAATGCAAAAAATGCAGTTCTTATTTTTAAGTAAATGCTTTTCACCCAAGTAAGTTTTCAAAATCCAAAGTTCTTTCGGGGTGATCTCAAACCTTTCGCCTGGTATACCTCAAAAAAAGAATTTTCGGAATTTTCGACATAGAAAGGATTTACTTGTTACTAATATAATACAACCCGCTTTTTCTTTAGATCTACTTGTTTAACTCCGACAGTATCATAAATTGAGTCAATGCATAGGAAATTAATGCATTTCCATACTATTAAGTTTAATGAAATACATATTACATAATTTAGATTATATCATTTTACTTATTTTACTGGATATTACGGAGCCTGTTCATGCACAGGATATGATCGAGTCTGATCATAGAAAATATTTTCTTCAAGCGAACCGGACTGACTATCCTCTGTAGAGGATTGGCGCCGTGGTTGGAACAAAGACACATTTAATTGTGAATTCAAATGTGGCAGATAAGATGAAGTCATATATCTGCATGGCCCAATCAATAGTTCAAGTCATACACTCCCATAATCCATTCTTTTTTCGGAGAGTTCCCTTCCACTATTCGTGTATGTCAAATAAAGAATCCAATTTATTTTGTTAAGTGGAAGGGAAATATCCAAATACATGTCTTATTCAAAAAAAAATAATGCATATTTGTAGCAATGAAATACTATTACTCCTCCCCCAAATGATTTATTACAAATATCTATGATTCATATTCTCTATAAAGGACCGGAAATTCCTTGCTTATGTATCATTGGAAAGTGCATTAACATGAATACGGCAGTAAGTAGAGGTAATACAAAAGTATGTAAACTATAAAAACGAGTCAAGGTAGATTGTCCCACACTAGCGCTGCCGCGCAATAACTCTACCACCGAGGATCCTATTACAGGAATAGCATCGGGTACACCTGTTACAATTTTGACTGCCCAATAACCAATTTGGTCCCAAGGTAAAGAATAACCAGTTACACCAAAGGATGAAGTCAATACACCCAAAATTACACCTGTAACCCAAGTCAATTCGCGAGGTTTTTTAAAACCACCAGTGAGATACACGTGAAATACGTGCAAGATCATCATTAATACCATCATACTTGCTGACCATCGATGAACTGATCGGATTAACCAACCAAAGTTAGCCTCAGTCATTATATATTGAACAGAAGCAAAAGCCTCCGTAACGGTTGGACGATAATAAAAAGTCATAGCAAAACCCGTCGCTACTTGGACTAAAAAACAAGTAAGTGTAATTCCTCTTAAACAATAAAATATATTTACATGAGGAGGGACATATTTACTAGTTATATCATCGGCAATGGCCTGAATCTCAAGACGTTCTTCGAACCAATCATAGACTTTATTGAGATAGGTAAACCAAGGGACCCCCCTTCGAACCGTATATGAAAATTTCATCTCGTACGGCTCAAACAAAAAGACTCAAATACTGGTTATTTGGAAAACAGATATGTGTAATAGAAAGTTTGAAACTTCTGAAGTTAATCCTATGATTCCAGTCTTTTTTGAAGATCCAAAAAATAGAAATCTACAAGATATTCTTAGTGTTTATAATGCCAAAATTTCAAGTCGGCTCACTCGTCTTTTCTCTTGATCCTTACAGGCCTCTTGAATATTCTATTATTTACTTCATTTTTTTTGTATTGTGTATGTAATAAGATTTGACTTCTGTTTTTTTTTTATTGATAAGAATTTTCTTGTTAAGACCCTATAAAATCAATGGAAAACCTGAGATTCATACCAGAACCACGATGATTTCCAAAAAAACCTTTAATCGAAGTCCAAGAATTCCCTGAGTAAGAACTGCTAGATCATCACTTATTCAATTTCAATAAATAGATATAATGAAAAAAAATACAAAGAAATGGATAAGCGGCGGCCGAATAAAATTCCATTTCTTTTTCTAAATGAATTCTTCTAACTCTTTCATTTTTTTTCGTCCGGTTGCGAGGTCTAAATATAAATATTAAGTATGAATCATAGTTCTAACACTTTAGAATCTATTTATTTTCTATATTCCGTGCTCCAGATACTAGAATAAATATCTGACGGGGTAAAGCCATCTATCAAGATAAGATGACGTATCCATTTTATGTTCTGTACTATCAATAGGATCCATTATAACAAGTCACACACTCATATTTCGGAAATAGAGAAACAAAGAAGTTTCACGGTCCAACTACCAAATCAAAATGGAATGGTCTAAAAATGAACGATCTAAATGCTAAACTTGACTTTTCTATTGAAAAGCTAGTTAGTTGGTTCTTGTGAATCGAATTCTCTAATTCATGGAAATTTGGTCCAGTAAAAGGGACAAATTATAAATCTCTAAAATAATAGAGAGAAATACCGCAAATAGGGCCATTGCAACCCCCATCCAAGGGGTAGTTCCCCACCCCGGAGCTACTTTACCATATTCTGAATGCAATGGTTTCAATAAATCTCCTACAACAGTTCGTCTTGGACAAGATCTAGAACTACCCTCAATGGTTTGTGTAGCCATAAATCCTATTTTTTTATTGAGATCTGTTGACTTTGTATACCATTCCGCTGTAGATAAAGGATCTTACCCTATAGATCCATTGTAGTCTTGATATTATAGAATCATGGAAACAGCAACCCTAATTGCCATCTCTATATCCGGTTTAATTGTAAGTTTTACTGGGTACGCCTTATATACTGCTTTTGGGCAACCCTCTCAACAACTAAGAGATCCATTCGAAGAACATGGGGACTAGTTGAAGTAATGAGCCCCCAATATTACGATATTGGAGGCTCATTACTTCATTCAATTGAGATAATTCTCAATCATTTCGTGTTTTTAGTGGGAACTTTAGGGGGTTCTCTAAAAAAAATAGCGAAAAAAATGATTCCTAAAGTTGAGACTAAGAGGAATGTATAAACCAATGCTTCCATAGATTTGATCGTGGTTTACAATTATAGCTTTCATGCCTGTTTTAGGGGATTATCTCCTGGATAAAGAAAAAGAAAGAACAAGAGTAAAACAAAATGGAATGATTGAAATCAAGATTTATCTAGTTCCCTAATATCAAATTCACATAACAACAAAAAAAATCGAATCGAAAAGGAACAAACCTATTTCTATCAGACTCCTTGTTTTTTTGTAGTTGGATCTCCAAGTTTTTGGAATGCTCCAAATTCTACTTGCGCATCCAAATCTGGATCAATACCAGCAAAAACATCTCTGAACAAGGTTCTAGCACCATGCCAAATGTGCCCGAAAAAGAAGAGCAGAGCAAACGAAGCATGTCCAAAAGTAAACCAACCCCTTGGACTGCTACGAAAAACACCATCCGATTTTAAAGTAGCACGATCTAATTCAAAAATTTCACCCAATTGAGCACGTCGAGCATATTTTTTCACAGTAGCAGGATCGCTATAACTGACTCCATTGAGTTCGCCACCATAGAATTCAACAATTACACCTACTTGTTCGACACTATACTTCGATTCTGCCCTTCGAAAAGGAACATCTGCTCTAACAATTCCGTCTCCGTCTACCAAAACAACCGGAAAAGTTTCAAAAAAGGTAGGCATACGACGTACAAAAAGTTCATGCCCCTCTTTGTCTCTAAAGATAGGATGCCCTAACCAACCAACCGCTATTCCATCTCCATTGTCCATTGAGCCCGCTCTAAACAAACCCCCTTTTGCCGGATTATTACCGATGTAATCATAAAAAGCTAATTTTTCAGGAATTTTAGACCAAGCTTCTGATAAACTTTGATTTTCGACTAGCCCACTACCAACTCTTCGATATATTTCTTGCTGGAAGTATCCCTGATCCCATTGATAACGAGTAGGACCAAATAATTCAATCGGGGTAGTTGCTGAACCATACCACATAGTTCCAGCAACAACAAAAGCTGCAAAAAATACAGCAGCGATACTACTGGAAAGGACGGTTTCAATATTTCCCATACGCAATCCTTTGTATAAACGTTGAGGTGGACGCACACTAAGATGGAAAAGACCCGCTAATATGCCCAATGTCCCTGCTGCAATATGATGAGAGGCTATTCCCCCCGGAACAAAAGGATCAAAACCGTCCACACCCCATGGGGGATTTACAAATTGTACCCTTCCTGTTAGTCCATAAGGATCGGATACCCATATTCCAGGACCAAACAATCCTGTTACATGAAAGGCGCCAAAACCAAAACACGCCACCCCTGCAAGAAATAAATGAATTCCAAATATTTTTGGCAAATCCAAAGAAGGTTTTCCAGTACGTTCATCACAAAAGATTTCTAGATCCCAATAGACCCAATGCGAAATAGCCGCCAAAAAGCACAAGCCCGAAAACACAATATGTGTCGCGGCCACACCTTCGTAACTCCAAATACCCGAATTTGTTATAGTGCCTCCTGTAATATTCCAACCACCCCACGAATTGGTTATTCCTAAACGAGTCATGAAGGGTATAACGAACATACCCTGTCTCCACATTGGGTCAAGAACAGGGTCAGAGGGATCAAAAACTGCTAATTCATATAGAGCCATCGAACCGGCCCAACCAGCA